GCAAGGACCTGAGAATTGTCGGGGTTGACTCTTCCACTTTTGGTTTATATTCCTTGCGTTCGTGAGGGGCCACCTTCGCTGCTTATAATGGGGTTTGTGACAGTGTGTTTCAGTGGCTCGGCCGCTGAAAGTCCGTTCTAGCCAAGGACGCCTACCGATGATGACCTAGAAAAAAGGCTTTCAGTTTCCAAGTTTCTTGGGCTCTAGGAGCTTTCATTTGTCATTTCGCCCAATACTTTGTCACTCTACGTACTTTGTAGGGTGGTTCTCGCCAAGCCGTCCCAAAATAAACTTATTTGCCATTACGTTTTGTCTGTTGATGTTGTGTAGTGGAGACAAAATATGTTATTTCTGACGAATGAGCCCGCGAAGAAGGCAGAAATAAATATTTTGACGGCACGAGATACAACAGGGCCTGGGTACTAGGCCGGGTGCACCATGGGTAGCCATATCGGGGGTATATAAGGCTGCGTATATCACGTGTTCGTCATCTAGGCTTACGAGCCAACCTCTCCTTGGTTTTTCTTAAATTTTTGTTTTATTTATTTTTAGGAGCAACATATTCTCGATTACATTGTAAAGTCCCGTAGGAAGGGCTTTGAGCTTGAGCCTTGGTTCCTACCCAGATTTCCTGCCCGCATTTTTTTCCCTTTTTTTTTTTTTTTTTGGACAGGTTTTTTTCTGGCCTCCGTCTGACCGCATTTACTTCAGTTTGTAAGCGGTAGCTCAGCTCTGCTAGTTTTCAGCCTTTTCCCGTTTTTTATTTTATGTACTTGTACACTAGTTATCTCAGTTTTGCACCTGCTCCTTTACTTGATATATTTAGTTTCCATGTATGCTTAGGTCAGCTGTCCCGGAACCGCTCTTTAGGAGGCGACGTAAGTCTCGTTTGACGCAGTTAGGTTGCAGGCAATGTTACAGACCTCTAGCCAGGGTCGTTATTCATTGTTTACCCTCAATGTCCCGCCCTAGCCTTTTATGACAGCCTTACTGGTTATTGGGCTACGTGCCTTGTTGGGTACATTAGTGGAGATAATTCCCAGTTTTCCTGGCACTCAGCCTCTGTGCTCCTGAAGTGTTCCCGGTCCCAGTTATACGTTGATCACAGTTTTATTAATTTCCCCAGCGTAACTGGCACTAAGCCTGCGTGCTTATTTGCGGGATTCAGGTCGAGATCGACCAGTTGTAGCAGTTTTTTCTTTTTGCTTAGCCTCTGTGCTCCTACCGTGTTCCTCGTGCCAGTTATGCGTTGTCTGAGTTTTATTAATTAGTTTCTCCAGCCTAACTGGCACTAAGCCTGTGTGCTTATTTGGGGGATTCAGGTCGAGATCGACCAGTTGTAGCAGTTTTTTCTTTTTGCTTAGCCTCTGTGCTCCTACCGTGTTCCTCGTGCCAGTTATGCGTTGTCTGAGTTTTATTAATTAGTTTCCCCAGCCTAACTGGCAGCCTAACTGGCACTAAGCCTGTGTGCTTATTTGGGGGATTCAGGTCGAGATCGACCAGTTGTAGCAGTTTTTTCTTTTTGCTTAGCCTCTGTGCTCCTACCGTGTTCCTCGTGCCAGTTATGCGTTGTCTGAGTTTTATTAATTAGTTTCCCCAGCCTAACTGGCAGCCTAACTGGCACTAAGCCTGTGTGCTTATTTGGGGGATTCAGGTCGAGATCGACCAGTTGTGAGCAGTTTTTTCTTTTTGTTTAGCCTCTGTGCTACTACCGTGTTCCGTGTGCCAGTTATGCGTTGTCTCAGTTTTATTAATTAGTTTCCCCAGCCTAACTGGCAGCCTAACTGGCACTAAGCCTGCCTGCTTAAATGGGAGATTCAGGTCAAGAGCGACCATTTGTCGCACGAGTTTTATCTTTTTGTGAAAGCTAGTTTACAAGTGTTGTACATTAGGTATTCACCAGTATTCACCTATTATTGTATTTACATAAATACTTTGTAGGGTTGGTTCTCGCCAAGCCGTCCCAAAATAAACTTATTTGCCATTACGTTTTGTCTGCTGATGTTGTGTAGTGGAGTCAAAATCCATCATACTCATCGGAAAGACTCCAAGTGCGTGTCTTAAATTTGATAAGACCTCTAACTGTGCTGTAGAAAATTTGCCACAAAGAAAACTCTTAGTCTGAGCGGCGAACGATGCACGCTATCATAAGAAATTGATCAAACTGAACTTCGGCGAGTGTGTGCTTCTTCGGAAATGATAGATCTTCGCACTCTCCAATTCGGACTAGCCTCGACCCGAAGTCCATCTACTACGAGTGAGCGAGTGACTAATTTGCATATCCCTGTCCCTGAAATAACTCGGCGTACGCTCGCTCGCCCCCTCGAGTTAAAAATCGAGAAAATGGCTAGTTTGCCTTGATTTATTACTGATTCGTATTATTTTATAGTCAATGTCCTTTCAATTGCCTTTTGCTATATTATCAATGAAAAAGCAAAGATCATCATTTGCACTGAGAGAGCATGTGATATCATTTTTATGAAAATGAAAGTTATATGATTTTGCCCTCAAAAAACGATTAGTGGCTCATATCTTAAACAAAATGATAGTGATTTGGTTTGTAAAACTTGCACCATTTTCTTAAAATGAGTAACTTCGTTGGTCCCCTGACCGTACTGTTATTTTTAAAATTATAAATTACCTCTTTCTGAACACAAATTTTGCACTTAAACTTCAAGGAAAATGTTGAAAAGATGATGTCGTAACGTTTGCAGCACATCTGAGCGTAACTATCAAACATTTAACAAGATATAAGCAAAAAGTAGTTTTGGCCGTCATGGTGGAGGGCAAGAGTATGCCCTCCAACCTGGTGGCGAATACAAATTATTCTACTAAAATCAAAGTGCCATAAAATATCTCTCTTTAATGCGTTTCCCCTCATATTTCGGGTGAAGATAATTTTGTATGTGCTCTGTCAATTTTTGGCAGCAGCAAGATTCTAAATCATTGTTTAAAGGAAGCATTGGTCACGTTACCTGTTCGTGCAGTGGCCTGTTGTCGCTGAATACAAAAAGTCTATGAAATGGCTAGTTTGCCTTGATTTATTACTGATTCGTATTATTTTATAGAGTTAATCTACATTCAATTGCTGTTCACTATATTATCAATGAAAAAGCAAAGCTCACCATGTTTCCTGTAAGATTATAATCATCTAATATTCTTCCTGATCTCAATCTTATCAAAATTCATTGTATGCACAGCTTTTTTTGTTGTTGTTTTCTTTCGAAATCGAAATTGGGTTCTGTAAGCTTTATAAAATGACTGTCAATAGTTCAATAACATTTACAACATTGGTTTTTAGTTATAATAGGTTAAACGTGACACCTTCTTTTGTTGGTGCAATTATGAACCTGATTTCTTTGTGTTATAACTAAAAAAAGATTAATATTGAGAGACTGAAACTGTCGTTGGCTAAGAAATCCGAACGGCCTAATGTTCCTCCTAAACTGTCATTAAACAGTAGGCAGTTTAAGTTCGTTTTGTTATCACTAATTGAAGGTTGCACAATATTGGCAACCTCTGTAGTCTATAAAAGTGAAAATTAAGAAACCCTTGCTCAATCCATGTAATTTTGTAACTTAATGTATATTCAAGCAGCGCTAGCCCAGCTGCAATTTTCAATTAAAGATGCAAATATATGTCCATTTGTTGGTCATAACTCGCAAATTAATCGCATAATGTGGCGCATAATGTGAATACATCTCCGGGGGTCACCGATAATGATTTACAAGGAGCCGGGGGGGGAGTACTTCTTTATAAGAGGCTAATGGGGATGTGCTGCTGGATGGGGTCGCATTTTCACGTCTGTATTGACTATAATGGGGTCGCATTTTCAATAGATTCACTAGAATGGGGTCGCACATTTTCTGAGTTTTGTAGTAAGACAGTTCTTCATATTTACGGTTAGCAAACGTGTTTGCACTGTAGGCTTGTACTGTAGGTGAAAAGTAAAGTGTTCTTCATTCAATAAAAGGTAGATACATAAATAGAAAGTAACTATTTTGGGATCGCGAAAATTAAATATTTGCCCAAAAGTGATTAAGATGGGGTCTATAATTGGCCACAGAATAGACTATAATGGGCCAGCGGCACATACCCAACAAAAATTAACCCAAGTACCCCCCCTCCCCTGGGGGGACAAGGAGAGATATCCTCAAAAGGTTAACTTGAGTTCAGTCAGTATGCAAGTGTAAATACAAGGCTCGCCCAAGACTTTTCATTGCCCATTGGAAGTTGATTTATCTATTAGGAAAACGTTTCATACAGAAGAATATTTTTTAAGTTACAATTTTTTCCTGTCATTCAAACACATGCTTTTTCACTCCGTGTTCTAATCGGTTCGGAAAGTTGATAAAAAGCAACAACGACGAGAAAAACAACTACCAGTTTCTTAACATTTCACATCGATATAAAAAGGATATTTATGAAAATATGTGATGCTAAGAACTCGGAACTTTAAAAAGCAAAACAATATTTTTGTCTTCCAGAAGCGAATAAATGAAAAGGAGTCCAGCTTTTCCTTTTTGCTTTACTTTACTTCTCTTTGCCAACCAACTGAAAGCTTCGGTCGTCCGTTGGCAGGTACGAGGGCCAGGAGAGGGCCAAGAGAGGTGCCCCCCCCGTCGGGGGTGGTAAGCCAATTGTAAATTCGACCACGAGAAGCGCCCCCAGGGTAAAAGCATTTTCCAAGTGGAGTTTTAATTGCGTCTCTGTTCTTAAGAAACTCGCTGTTATGCTAAATTTTAGTAAATCAAGTTAAATCGACTGTTATCATTCCCATTTATATCGATCCATCATTTGCTTCTTTGCTTTAAGACCTTCAGAAGGTACCCTGAATCAAAATGGATGAGTCAATCTCGTTGGAGCTTCCTAAACGAACTCATCATCAAATCTGGTTTGAAACAGCTTTGCTTCTTGTCATCAACTTGACAGCTTTCCTTGGAAACCTCTCTGTTTGCTGCGTTGTGTACAGAAATCAAAGACTTCGCACGATTCCAAACATGTTTGTTTTAGCCTTGGCTTTGAGCGATATCCTAATATCCACCTGCAATATGCCTTTTTCGATCGTTACTTTGCTTCGTGGGGAATGGATTTTCGGGTCGCATTTTTGCCGATTTCACGGCGTGACCTTTTTCATGTTTTCAATGGTTTCACTTCATACGATGGGAATAATCGCCGTGAGCAGATATTATTGCGTGGTAAAGCCACACAAGTACCCTATGTTATTTTCCAAACGAAAAATTTTGGCCTATATTGCCATTGTGTGGTTTGCAGCATTGGTTGGAATAACGCCTCCGCTTCTTTTCGATGGCTACAGGTTTAAACCAGGCCAAGCAGTTTGCATGTACGCATTCGAAACAAACGTTGCTTTTACTGTCTTTGTTGAATGTGTGTATATAGCAACGCCCTTAGCAATCATCACAATCTGCTATGTCAAAGTATTCTACACAGTTTCGCGAACAAATCTTGTCTTCCAGCGAGAAAATAACCCTGAGCAGCTCCGAGCAAACGTGGAAGAGGTGAAAGTGACCAAAACATTAGCGGCGGTGATGGCTGGCTTTGCATTTTGCTGGATTCCTATCTCCATAATGGATTATATTACTGCCGTGCGTGGGGAGTCCACACTACCGCGTCAGGCCTATCTAACATACGGGTACTTGGGTTATTTGAGCAGCACCATTAACCCATTCATATATGGTGCTACCAACAGGCGCTTTAGGCAAGGGTACAGAGCAGTTTTGGGCAGCCTGCCAAATTTGTGTGCGAAATGCTTTCGACCTTCAAACTCGGCTGAAAGAGAATAGTCGAACCAATTTGTATATCAAAAGACTTTACAAAAAACTTCTGAAAGGTCTCTGATAAAAAGGTATTAGTTAAATTTGGTTTGCCGAGGGGCTTATAACTTATGCAATAAGAATTACTACTCAATTCTCTCTGCCTTGGGGGGGATAACTGTATGGAGAAGTAAGGGGGTTTACCACCTTCCGCGGAGCTTAACCAAACGCCGGGGAAATTCTTCTTTTAAGATGCAAGAAACACAAAGCTTTATTTATACATCACTTATGACCTTCAAAAGATATAACACTTTAAGGTCGTGTACCAACATAAACATGAAGCCTAAGTGGTCGTGTAATAATACAATAATTTAATAATACAAGAATTTATATAGCGCCATTTCCGTGAGCTCAATTGTGTAACGGCCGGTATAACCGACTTATGTATCTTTAAAACGTATACAGCAAAAACCCACGTATAAGAACCTAGATTTTATCTAGTTGCCTTATTTAATAGGTTCTTATAGAAATGGTATTTAGTGGGATTTTAGGCTATTCACGTTCTTAAATAGGTTCTCAATTTGATCGTGGCACTAGCGATCAGCATAGATAACTACTACAGGGCATATGTGATATGAAATATATCGCTGTATTAAATGATTATCTAGAATACAGTTTAGATGATAACCATACAGCAAATGAATCTTACTGACTGAAACCTAGACTAAAATTTTTTTCTGTATTTTCGTCTGTGCCTTCATTTTTGTAAAATAAAAACCTATTGAAGATTTAGGCCAAATAGGTGCTTGTGAAAAGGGGGTTTAAAATGAAAATTTTAGCCTAAGACTATATATTTTGTAACTTAAGCTTGTTTTTCTGCTCCTGGTAATTCTTATTTATCCACATAGTTTATTTAGTTACTTTAAAATATTATCTGTTATGACAGCTGTAACCTTTCCTTTCCGCCCGCCTCGTCTAGCTTTTGCTATTTGCGGACGGAGATGGCAAAATGATGTGTATGAAAATAAAGTATAGTGCGTGTGTTATAAGTGGTTTTTTTTACTGACAGTGAATTTCACAATAACAGCTAATGATATAATAATTATAATCCCTTATTGCATTTCAAAAAGAAGGACACATATCAATATTAATAGTGAGAGGGAAAAAACAGTCCTTCGTGAACGCCATGGCCTATGTTTAGCGGCCCTCAAACACTAAGCCTACACCAGACCGAGTTCGGCTAAACATTGTAAACCTAATGACTGGCTAAACTCCCAAATTACCTCCCAATCCTAGGGTCACTATTTTTAAGAAGCTACCGAGGTTGACACTTCATTTGTTTTTAAACTGAGTTGCGGGAAATTAAAATTTTATGCCGATATCATTATTTTGCTCTTGACTAAAATTTTCAACCAACTGCTCAGACCAAAACTTTCTATACTCTTTCCCAATTTTAACAGGCTTGAAAACCATACTTCACAGCGGCACATGCCCATATAGACCATTTATGGCAGTAGCGGCGGTGGAATTTTTTGTTTCGCTCGACAGGCCAGCTTACTCTCAATGAATTAGAATCCTTCTAAATTTGACGTGGGTCTAAACGTTATGACCCAAGTCAAATTTAGAAGGATTTGTGTGGAGTCGCTAGAGCATAACTGGGCTAATATCTCAGAGAACATTTGCCCCACAATGCTAGTTTTTGGCAAGTTGGCCTCTTGGATGTAGTTCTTTCAGAATATCCTGACAAATTCCATAATTTCCAAATTTAACATTTTATGACATCACACTTTAGAGCTCTATTGGACGACAATATAAAGAGCGGAGGCAGCTGTACCACTATGACTAGTTTAACTTTGTACACATGATTAATAACGCTACTTAAAAGAAAGAAATATTCAAAAGGAAGAAAAGTGCAGCCCAAAACGATCTTATCCTCTCAAAGGTGCGAAGAGTTCAAAACCAAAAAAACAACAACTGAATCTTAAGAACTTTGTGATCAACACTGTAAAAAAAAGGTGAAAGTGTACACTATCTCTTCGTAACTGATGAGACCTTTACAGCGTGTCACGTATTATGAAAATACTCATTATGAAGATATTGGATGCAAATAGATAAATTTCAAGTTTATATAATCCGTAAACCAATCAGAAAGAACGGAATGATCTGCGACGTAAAGGAAGCTGTAATCATTTACATGTTATATCAATTTTGTTCAGATAAAAAATTCTCAATGTCCACATGCAGTAGAAAATATTTCCCAGTATATTTAATACCCTAATCAATGGACAGACACTGTTAGCTGAATTACTTCGATATCTCTATTTCTTTGAGCTAGGGTTTGGAACTGTTTTATTTTTGACCAGACCTCGGTAAGTAATAAATTCAAATTAACTTGCTTCTTGGCGTAATTGAGCTACTAAGTTACCTTTTTTTAATAAAAAATGAGAAGAACACCTGCGGTAAAGACAACTACTTCTCTCATTGAACGTAAAATAAAGCAGAGTTCAAAGCATTATTACAAATTAAGAATATCGCAAGCTTTTCCTAAATTATTTCAACGAACTGGTATGGATCCTCCCCGTAGTGGAAAAAAAGAAATCACAATACGGAAGGAAAGGTATGAGAAGTGAATGAAACCAAGAGACTGCTTTAAGAGACAAATATCAAATATATAACGAAGGGAGAGACAGACTCTTTTATTTATCTTCTCGGATATATCTCAACTTTTTGGAGTTATGTTGGAGTTATGTTTTGCAACTGTTTAATTATTGACTAGACTGTAAAGAAGGAATTATCTTCTTTTTTGGTGTTTACGTGAATAACTACTAACATTTTTCATAACTGAGACGAACACCTGCTGTAAAGAAGGCTACTCAGTCCCCCAAACAAAAACAGCAGACTGAAACGCTTTTCAGTGGTACAAAAAAAGAACATCTTTGCAAGCTTTTCCTGAATTCTCTCAACGAATTCGTTATGGAACATTTGCTTTCCAGGGAGCTCGTTGTAAGAGCACAGCATTTAATTTGGATTGAAGCAAGTTTCCTTGCTATCATCAACATAACAGCCATCTCCGGAAATATTTCTGTTTGCTACGCAGTTTATGGAAACCAAAGACTTCGTTCACTTGCCAATATGTTTGTTGTAGCGTTAGCTGTCAGCGATATTCTAATATCGGTCTATTGTATGCCTCTTTCAGTGGCCGCTCTCATTCAAGGCCGATGGATTTTCGGGACCAGTGTTTGTCGACTCCAGGGTTTTGCAATGTTTACGTTTTCATTGGCCTCTCTAAATACAATGGGGGTTATTGCAGTTAGCCGATATTTTTGCGTAGTGAAACCAACGAGGTACATTGTATTATTCCGGAGGCAAAGAATTGTGATGTACACTTCGGTAGTATGGTGTGTGGCTCTGATTGGTTCAGTGCCTCCGCTAATTTTTCAGACAGGCGGATACACTTTCCAACCTGGAAAAGCAATGTGCATGTACCCATTCCAAACTAACATTGCTTATACCGTCTTCATCGAATGTGTGTTTGTCGCTGCGCCCTTTACACTCATCACTTTCTGCTACGCCAAAGTGTTCTACACAGTGTCAAGATCAAATCGTGTCTTCACGCAAGAAAATAACCCTGAACAGCTCAGAGCAAACGTCGAAGAAGCAAAAGTGACCAAGACGTTAGCTTTGGTCATGGTCAGTTTCTCCTTATGTTGGCTTCCTATCTGTATTATGGATTACATCGACGCAGCACGCGGGGAACCCACTTTGCCACGACAGGTATATCTTACATACGGGTTTCTGGCCTACCTAAGTAGTACAATCAACCCCTTTATATATGGCGCTACCAACAGGCGCTTCAGACGAGAGTACAAAACCATTTTGAAAAAGATAAGTTTGATCTTTACTTGTGGTCGTTGCAGTTGTAGACAGAACCGAACGTCCGATAATCCACCAAAATTAGCGGTGACTGAGCTTTAAATTATGTAAAAACAAAATTAATGTGGAAAACAAGATGTCAATGGTAGACAAGTTCAAAGCCTTTTGCGGTGATGCAGTGAGACCTGACAAGCTTAAAACGAAGAGTTGACGAAAGTGCGTTGGTAAAAGAAATGGTTTTACTGACAGTGTAGCATCACGGACCTGCATAAATAGCTCTTTTGCTGGCACGGACCACTGGACTGGATCCATTAGGAGGAATTCTAGTCAATCTCTTTGTGACATGTTGCGTTGTTCGTTACAAATTATTATCAGTCAAGTCCATCGCTTACATTTAGGGGTATTTTTTCTTTTTTGCAGCAATTTCGCTTACTGAACGTGTTTAGCATATACACCTCTGTCCCCGAGTTGTCCTCACTGCAGCTGATTTTAAAAGGTCGAGGGGAGATGCGCTCCTTTTTTTGAACAAAGTGGTGCCGTATTTAATTTCTCTGCATGTTTTTATTTTTTGCTGGTTTTATAACCAAAGGTGCACGAATTAGCTGATGGCAAAATTGCAAAACTACCAAAGGACGTCAAAACCAGTTTTAAATGGTTTTAATTTGATGTCCTTTGGTCAGACCTTCAGGTCCCTATCCATCTATTCTGACGGTTTTCTGTTTTGAAACGCAAGCCCTCAAGCAGCAGATTACTGGGGATGTCTCAGTCCTTCTGCGAAAAAATAAGGCCGTACTCTTTTGCCATACCCTTCCCAACCCTGAAAGGGTACTCCCTATAATGGCTATACATTAAGGCTCCAAAAGCAGGAATTTCAAATGACGGGGTATATGAAACAAAAGGGAAATCCTCTTTGAGATATCTAAAAGGGTTTTTAATACAAAATATTTCGAGGAGATGCTATTCTCTCGGACTTTGCAATAAAACTGTCACGCTTGGTAATGAATTTAGCTTGTGCAACCTGTAATAACAGGCCATCGCATTTTGTTATAAAACAAGTTGTCGCACTCTGTTATAAACGTTATTAAACTTTTTAAACTGGAAAAGAAATGAAGCTCTTGAATGATTGATGTACAAGAAAAATCATTTTCGACGTTGTGGTAAGAATTTCAATTAGAATAGATGGTTTTTCAAATTCTAATATAGCATCATTCTTATAAGAGAGTACGAAGCCTTTGTTGCATTAGGAATAAAGTAAAGTTATTTTTAAGATTAAGAATGATTGCACTATGTCTTCATAAAATGAGACCTTAAAACTAAAATATTCAAAAGTACGTTGAGTTTGATTGTTCGGGTGAACGTAGTCTTGATTACCACTGTTGTTGTTGACAGTGACTAACGTTTCGACAACCTGTGAGGTAGTTAGGCCTAGATACAAATTCACGAAAAATGGCCTAAATATGTTTCCGGAAATTCCTCATCTTTTTTCTAAATATCAGAAAAATTTCTAAATATCTCAAAAATATCTGGCTTCATTTCATATATATTACAGTCAAAAAAAAAAAGCCGCTCATCTAAAATGGTAACAGAAATTTCAGCAAATTTCAGGAAATTATATATTCCACATAAAGTCAGCCTTGTTTACAGCACCCCTCGGCCTACAAGAAAACTAGGGCACTGCACTTTAATACAGGCAGAGATGGTGAAAGACCATTAGGTGCTGGAGGTCTAAAGGGTTCTAAAAGGGACACTAATGTATAGTTTGCGCGTGGTTCGTCATCAGCCATTTTGTTGAACATTAACCACATTGCATATATTATATAAATGGAGAATATTGTTGAATCTGATTACAACAGGCCCATATGTGGAGATTTGTTTGAATTTCTGTCACTGAAATGCCCATGCCCTAATTAACATTGAAGTAGCTTCCTAGAAAAAACATGATTTCAGTAGTATTTTTTTCGTAGCAAAATTCTAAGTATCACAATTTTTTCCTAAATATCATGAGATTTTCTAAATATCCCAAAATCTTCTAAATATCTTAAAAAATATTCAGACATTTTTATCTAGGCATAGCGGTAGTCATCTTCAGAGTCAAAATGAGTTGTATCACGCCAGTTGATGGTATTATACTCTGGTTACTGACCTGACTGGTCAATTACGTCGCGATGTTATTGGTCGTCTGTCAGTTAAGCCGTGATGCTGTTGGCTATGCAAACTCGTAATGTAATTGGTGCGCTTCGATCCGTCTATTGTTATTCAAATTGTCAGTTGTCCAGTTCTTCTCTCGTAGTAAGTTTTGCTTGATTTTGTCAATAAGTCGTTTTTACGGTGCCGGTAACTGTTGACTACGATTCAGTGGCGTTTATTTTAAAATATTAAACCAGCTTTCTAAAGTGAGTCGGTTGACAGCAGTTTGTAGAATACGTAATACATGTCGCAGAGTCCCAGTCGATTTGAAGTTTCTTCTGTAATGTGATTGTTGACGTCACCATTTCTCTTCGCTCGTTTGTTTTCGCTCAGCCGCGTGCTAAGGTTTCTGTCGGTTTCACCAATGTAAGTAGCCTGGCAGTCACAGCATTTGATATTGTATACTGATCTACTGTCTTTGTCCTTGACATTAGTAAGTAGTCCACGTAAAGTGGTTATCAGTTTGTGTGCAATACGGATATTGTAACGTTGGAGTATACGTGCGATGGTTTCAGAGGTGCCTCTGATGTACGGTATAGTCGCTGTCGTAACAGGGCAAGAGTTGACGTTGGTCTGAGCGTTGGACTACGTTAACCAGGACCATGAAACTCAACCTTAACTTTTGAAATGACTCATGGGTTCAAACCTTTCACAGTTTTATAAAAATACTCTTTAAGAAGATATTGGATGCAAATGAATTAATTCAAATAAACCCATAAACCAATCACAAACAAGGAACTGTCTGCGAAGTGAATGAAGCTTACCCGACTACTTAAGTGACCACTATCGAATTGTCCCGTGCATTGGAAAACATTAGCGACCTTAAAACGTCGCTGAAAAAGTGAATTCGCGTTCTTTCAATCTTCTTGGCGATTACTGCAAGTCACTAACTTTGTCAAATGTAGGTGAACCCTAATAAAAGTTGAATTCCTAAGAACCATATCCAAGTTCAAAAAGAGAGAGGAAATTTCGTCGTCGCTTAATTGTGTACTTCCGCTGTAAAAAGTGAAAAGAGGCATTTTCAGGTCGTAGTCGTGCAGTGACGGAAAAGAAATGTACAAAAAAGCGTGATGCACGTGCAAAATTGTTGTTTTGGTTATTAAACCTATTGCTTTTTTTGACGTTCTTGTTGCCGTCGCCGTCGTCGGATCTTAAGCGCCCTAGTTTACCCCTAAATGACGGAGAGGCAGACACTCTTGGCTACTAGGATATCTCTTCTTTTTGGGCCAGCTGTTTAAGTCTTGGTTAGCTGTAAACAATGAATTCAAATTAACTTCAAACTTGGTGTTGATATAAATAACTAATGATCTGACATTTTTCATTAATGACACGAACACCTGATCCAGTATAGAAGGCTACTTCCCTTAAACGTTGAAAACAGTAGAGTTCAAATTATTACAAAGATCTTCCCAAGATTTCGCTGCATACTTTCAACGAATTCGTTTGAATCAGCCCCGTATTATGGATCATCCGCATTCCAGCGAGCTCGTGAAAAGAGCATAGCATCTAGTTTGGATTGAAGCAATTTTCCTTGCTATCGTCAATATAATGGCCATCTCCGGAAACATTTCTGTTTGCTACGCCGTGTATAGAAACCAGAGACTTCGTTCGCTTGCCAATATGTTTATTGTAGCGCTAGCTGTCAGTGATTTACTAATATCTGTCAGCTGTATGCCTCTGTCAGTTGCTACTCTCGTTCAAAGCCGATGGGTATTCGGGACTACTGTTTGTCAACTGCAGGGTTTTGCAATTTTTATGTTTACAATGTCTTCTCTAAATACTATGGGGATTATTGCAATCAGCCGATATTTTTGCGTAGTGAAACCAACGAGGTACATTGTTTTATTCAGAAAACAAAGAATTGTGTTGTACACTGCGGCAGTATGGTGTATGGCTCTCATTGGTTCAGTGCCTCCGCTAATTTTTCAGACAGGCGGATACACTTTCCATCCAGGAAAAGCAATGTGCATGTACCCATTCCAAACTAACATTGCTTATACCGTCTCCATCGAATGTGTGTTTATCGCTACGCCCTTTACACTCATCACTTTCTGCTACGCCAAAGTGTTCTACACAGTGTCAAGATCAAATCGTGTTTTCACGCAAGAAAATAACTCTGAACAGCTCAGAGCAAACGTCGAAGAAGCCAAAGTGACCAAGACGTTAGCTTTGGTCATGGCCAGTTTCTCCTTATGTTGGCTTCCTATCTGTATTATGGATTACATCGACGCAGCACGCGGAGAGCCCACTTTGCCACGACAGGTATATCTTACATACGGGTTTCTGACCTACCTAAGTAGTACAATCAACCCCTTTATATATGGCGCTACCAACAGGCGCTTCAGACGAGAGTACAAAACCATTTTGAAAAAGATAAGTTTGATCTTTACTTGTGGTCGTTGCAGTTGTAGACAGAACCGAACGTCCGATAATCCACCAAATTTAGCGGTGACCGAGCTTTAAATTATGTAAAAACAAATGTGGAAAACAAGATGTCAATGTTAGACAAGTTCAAAGCCTTTTGCGGTGATGCAATGAGACCTAACAAGCTTCAAACGAAGAGTTGACGAAAGTGCGTTGGTAAAAGAAATGGTTTTACTGACAGTGTAGCATCACGGACCTGCATAAATAGCTATTTTGCTGGCACGGACCACTGGACTGGATCCATTAGGAGGAATTCTAGTCAATCTCTTTGTGACATGTTGCGTTGTTCGTTACAAATTATTATCAGTCAAGGACATCACTTACATTTAGAGGTATTTTTCCATTTTGCAGCCATTTCGCTTACTGAACGTATTTATCATATACACCTCTGTCCCCGAGTTGTCCTCACTGCAGCTGATTTTAGCAGGTCGAGTGGAGATGCGCTCCTTTTTTTGAACAAAGTGGTGCCGTATTTAATTTCTCTGCATGTTTTTATTTTTTGCTGGTTTTATAACCAAAGTTGCACGGATTAGCTGATGGCAAAATTGCAAAACTACCAAAGGGCGTCAAAACCAGTTTAAAATGGTTTTAATTTGATGTCCTTTGGTCAGACCTTCAGGTCCCTATCCATCTATTCTGACGATTTTCTTTTTTGAAACGCAAGCCCTCAAGCAGCAGATTACTGGGGATGTCTCCGTCCTTCTGCTAAAAATTAAGGCCGTACTTTTTTGCCATACCCTTCCAACCCTGTGAGGGTACTCCCTATAATGGCTATACATTAAGGCTCCGAAGGCAGGAATTTCAAATGATGAGGTATATGAAACAAAAGGGAACTCTTCTTTGAGATATCTAAAAGGGTTTTTAATACAAAATATTTCGAGGAGATGCTATTCTCTCGCACTTTGCAATAAAACTGTCACGCTTGGTAATGAATTTAGCTTGTGCACCCTGTAATAACAGGCCATCGCACTTTGTTATAAAAGAAGTTGACGCACTCTGTTATAAATGTTATTAAACTTTTTAAGTTGGAAAAGAAATGAAGCTCTCGAATGATTGATGTACACGAAAAATCATTTTCGAGATAATGGTAAGAATTTCAATTAGAATAGATGGTTTTTCAAATTCTAATTTAGCATCATTCTTATAAGAGAGTAGGAAGCCTTTTGTTGCATTAGGAATAAAGCAAAGTTATTTTCAAGATTAAGAACGATTGCACTATATCTTCATAAAATGAGACCTTATTATGAAATACTCAAAAGTAGGTTGAGTTTGATCGTCCAGGTGAACGTAGTCTTGATTAGCACTGTTGTTGTTGACAGTGACGGACATTTCGACAACCTGTGCGGTAGTTAGGCCTAGATACAAATATCACAAAAAATGCCCTAAATATGTTTCCGGAAATTCCCGATTGTTTTTCTAAATATCTCGAAATTTTTTTCTCAATATCTCAAAAAAGTTCAAATATCTGAGAAACATCTGGCTTCCTTTCATAAAAATTACACAAATTTCGATTCAGCAAATTTCAGGAAATTATATCCTGGTACAGCATATACAACAAAACTCTAAGCAATTCCACAAAACGTCAGCCTTATTTACAGCACCCCTCAGCCTACAAGAAGACTAGAGCACTGCACTTTAATACAGACAGAGATCGTGAAAGACCATTAGGTGCTGGAGGTCTAACAGGGTCTAAAAGGGACACTAATGTATAGTTTGCGCGTGGCTTATAGGGTTCGTCATTAGCCATTTTGTTGAGCATTAGCCATATTGCATATATTATATAAATGGAGAATATTGTTGAATCTGATTACAACAGGCCCATATGTGGAGATTTGTTTGAATTTCTGTCACTGAAATGCCCATGCCCTAATTAACATTGAAGTAGCTTCCTAGAAAAAACATGATTTCAGTAGTATTTTTTTCGTAGCAAAATTCTAAGTATCACAATTTTTTCCTGAATATCATGAGATTTTCTAAATATCCCAAAATCTTCTAAATATCTTAAAAAATATTTAGATATTTTTATCTAGGCATAGCGGTTGTCATCGTCAGAGTCAAAATGAGTTGTATCACGCCAGTTGATGGTATTATATTCTGGTTATTGACCTGACTGGTCAATTACGTCGCGATGTTATTGGTCGTCTGTCAGTTACGTCGCGATGTTGTTGGCTATGAAGACTCGTAATGTAATTGGTGCGCTTCGATCCGTCTATTGTTATTCAAATTGTCAGTTGTCCAGTTCTTCTCTCGTAGTAAGTTTTGCTTGATTTTGTCAATAAGTCGTTTTTACGGTGCCGGTAACTGTTGACTACGATTCAGTGGCCTTTGTTTTAAAATAGTAAACCAGCTTTCTAAAGTAAGTCGTTGACAGTAGTTTGTAGAATACGTAATACATGTCGCAGAGTCCCAGTCGATTTGATGTTTCTTCTGTAATGTGATTGCTGACATTAGTAAGTAGTCGTCGTAAAGTGGTTTTCGGCTTGTATGCAACACGTATATTGCAAGATTGTAGTATACGTGCGATGGTTTCAGAGGTGTCTCTGATGTACGGTATAGTCGCTGTCGTAACAGGGCCAGAGTTGACGTTGGTCTGAGTGTTGGACTTCGTTCTCCAGGACCGTCAAACTCAACCTACTTTTGAAATGACACATGGGTTCAAACCTTTCACAGTTTTATAAAAATACTCTTTAGGAAGAAATTGGATGCAAATGAATTAATTCAAATAAACCCATAAACCAATCACAACAAGGAAATGTCTGCGAAGTGAATGAAGCTTACCCGACTACTTAAGTGACCACTATCGAATTGCCCCGGGCACTGGGAAACATTAGGGACCTTAAGATCTGAGGACGGCAACGGCAGCGAAAACGTCGATGAAAAAGTGAATTCGCGTTCTTTCAATCTTCTTAGCGATTACTCCAAGTCACCAACTTTGTCAAATGTAGGTGAGCCCTCCTAAAAGTTGAATTCCTAAGAACCATATCCAAGTTCAGAAAGAGAGAGGAAATTTCGTCGCTTGTGTAATTCCGCTGTAAAAAGTGAAAATAGACATTTTCACGTCGTAGTCGTGCAGTGACGGCAAAGAAATGTACAAAAAAGCGTGATGCACGGGCAAAATTGTTTTGGTTATTAAACCTCTTGCCTTTTTTGACGTTCTCGTTGTCGTCTCCGTCGTCGGATCTTAAGAGCGGCTGTCTGTAAATATCGAGAATTCGCTGTCAAAACTGAAATTTCGAAATACTTCATTTTCAGTCAGAACGAACCCTTTGGTGAAACATTTTCGAAAATCACAATCATAGTTTCCAAAGAATTTTCATTTTCGAGAAAACCACCAAAAAGTGAAATGCTGCCCCACGCCAGGAGCCTATCAAATGGAGCCTCCATCTCCCATACAAGCCCTTGGAGTCAACCCTTTCCCGAGTAGATTTATAATTAGAACGGTTCCCAGGGGAGACTTCGCGCGCCGACGGTGGGAAGAACCAATCACAACGACTAAATGACACTGCTATTGTACTTCATGAAACAGCAGGAAATCCGGTGCTGACAGGCCAGACAAAATCATAAGCTAGTGAAACGTGACTTTAGCGTTTTCATCCCTCAGAGATTTTCTTTCTTTTCTTTCTAGCGGGTAGATTATACTGTGGAGAGTTTTAAACTCTGACTATGTTAATCTTAATTTTGGTTGCTTGTCTCACATTAAGCTGGTCTGTTACATGCGCAAGGATTAACTACTACCTGCAGTCTGTAGTTCTGACAGGATTCGTTTTCTTTAGCCAATTTTTTTGAGCGTTAAGGTTCTTATTTCGGTTAAATGACTCAATATTAATCAAATTTCTAGTTTTTCAAGTTTTTATCCGAAATGCGTTTGTCTGAATAAATACTGTGGTTGTTTTGTCCGTCAGTTAGTGTGATGATTCCCTTCTATGTTTTGTAACGCCGAGCCCAGCCATTGTTTTCTCGCAAAAAAGTGATCTACAGATGAGAATTCGAAGGAAAGAATTGACCTAAACTTCTACATTAATTGCTGAGAATTCTCCTGTTGGTCAGTCATAATTCTTTGGGCGCAGATACAATCCATTTTGTTTTTCTGGAGATAAGAGGGTCTTTGGACTGGAGCGCGATGTCACAAATTCCACCGTTAGCAAATTACTTTTGAGTTAACTTCACGGTCGAGCAACTGTTGTCTTCTGTTCAACTTTTCAAGTGCCAGTTTTATCAGGCAACTCTCATGGTGATACAAGTCAGTTGTAAAGGAAGACTGCAATTTTTCTGAAGCATTCCTCCTTAGTTGCTACTTAGGTCATCGCTTTTGCACACGGTGCTTAACTGGCGAAATCCACTCCACGGCGATGACAAAAATAAATGATCCTGGCACTTTTTCGGCGCTGATCATCGAGAAGTTTCAAATCGTCCACAGAACGCTTAATCGTCGACTCTTTTCAAGGTGCATGCTTAAATGTGGGATGTATGACGGCAAAAAAAAACAAACAAAAACAAACACTCGCAAAGAACCTTTCCGAGATCCTCAGTTCGCTGCCTTTGTCCCATCGCTTCATGCTCAGTCTCAGTCGGGTAATTCATTAACTTTTATTTCATCCCAGATCCCAGCGGCTGTAAAACTGTAAAAATGGACGTATAGTAAAAAAGGAAAACGGTCGAAGGACGGGCTTCTGAGTTCGACTTCATCCAACTTCATTTTTTTCACGGTGACATACGAGACTCACGGAAATATGGCACTTTTCGCGGGAAACAAGCCGTTCTATTTATAAATCTACTCGGGAAAGGGTTGACTCAAGAAATTAATGGAGATGGAGGCTCCATTTGATGGGCTCCTGCCC